GAGGTCTTGCTATGTTGTCTAGGCTTGTCTTGAACTCCTGGTCTCAAACAGTTCTCCTGCCTCAGTCTCCCACATTCCTGGAATTACAAATGTGAGCTGCCATCTGAATCATTATCTCTATTTTACAGCGGAGGCACCTAAGGACCAAATGTGCTCTAAGTCAGATGCCTAGTAAGTTACTGAATGAGGTTTCAAACAAATTTTTTGATCCTGAAGTTCATACTCTTTCTATTCATCTTGCTTCCTCTCCATTAGAATCTAAAATCTGAACCCACATTGATATGAAACTGTTCCAAGTTGGCCATACCCAGTAACCTTTGGTCAGACTATAGCCTCTGTGACCCTTCTGCAGCATTGGACACTCTCTTTGAATTTCTCTCCTGGTTTGGCTGTATCTAACTTCTCCTGTACCCTTCCAGTTCATGTCTTCTGGTCCCTCATCTCCCTATGTGTTTTGTCTTTTGTCTTCCATTCTTACTTTCAGCAATTGAAAAGCAACATCTGGTCCTATGAAATCTGAGTTACAGATCTAGATCTAATTTTATGAGTAAAGATTTAAAAGCTGCCCCTTAAATCTGGTGCTATGTGTTAAAAGTTTTCAACGCATACCCTCTGACCAAGAGAGCTATCATCTAGGAATGTACGCTAAGAAAACTCATACAAGTATGCAAAGAAGTTTGGGAAAGGGTAATCTCTGGAATATTATCAATAACAGCAAAACTTTAGAAAGGATCCAAATGTTAATCCATAGGGGCTAGGTTAAAGAATTTATACTGCAACTATATAATGAAATACTATCTGCTCTTTAAAAGATGAGAGTATAGATAGATATAAACATATATACACACATATATAGACATTGAAAAATATCTCTAATGGCATTGAAAAACCAGTGTTCATGGAGCAAGAATGAATGATCCCCTTGCCACATTTAAAACAATTCCAAATATAAAGTGTCAACTAGGATGTAAAACAGTAGTTATTGAGATGTAAAAAGGCTGTTCTCCACTCTTCTGCACTGTCCTCCTCGGCTCCTCAGTGATTGCCATCTATTTCCACGATCACCTCAATGTGAACTCTGGTCTGACTTCATGCCTATGTCCCTGATTGGAGCATGCAGCTGCCCAGCAGACAGCTCCTCCTGGATGGCAGTATTTTCATTCATCATTTTCCCTCCCAAATCTGCTCTTTTTCTGCATTTTCCTATTTCTATTTTTTTTTATTTTTGTTTTTCAAGTTGGAATCTTATTCTGTCACCCAGGGTGGAGTGCAGTGGCATGATCACAGCTCACCACAGTCTCAACCTCCGGGCTCAGGCAGTCCTTCCGCCTCAGCCTCTCAAGTAGCTGGGACTACAGGCATCTGCCATCATGCCTGGCTAATTTTTTATTTTTTGTAGAGGTGAGGTGTAGCTATGTTTCCCAGGTTGGTCTTGAATGCCTAGGTTCAAGCGATTCTCCTGCCTTGGTCTCCCAAAGTGCTGGGATTACAGGCATGAGCCAACATGCCTGGCAATATGTTTTCCTATTTATGTTAAAGACATCACTGTTCTTTTGGTTCACACAGTCAAGTAAGGCAAGAGGTAAAGCAAGGTCATTGCCTTCTTCCATCCTTGCATCTTCAGTTCCACATGTTATCAACTGTGATGGTTAATTTTATCAATTTGACTGGATCAAGTGGTGCCCGGACATTTGATAAAATATTACTCCAGCTGTGTCTATGAGGGTGTTTCTGGAAGAGATTAACACTGCATCAGTAGACTGAGTAAAGCAGATTGTCCTCCCCAGTGTGGGTGGACATTGCTCAATCAGTTGAAGACCTGAATAGAACAAAAAGACTCCACATGAGGTAACTGCTTCTGCCTGCCTGCCTTAAGCTGAGACATTGCTGTTTTTTCGCCTTCAGACTCAAACTGAACACTGGTTCTTCTTGGGTCATGGCCTGCTGATTTTCACAGAAATTTACACCAGTGAGGGTCTCCAATTTACTGACTGCAGATCTTGGAACATCTCAGTCTCCATAATTACATGAGCCAATTCCTTATGACCTCTCTCTCTCTCCCTCTCCCCTCCTCTCCCCCCCCCTCTCTCTCTTTCTCTCTCTCTCTCACACACACACACGCACACGCACACGCGCACACGCACATGCACACACACAAACACACATCCTACTGGTGTTATTTCTCTGGAGAATCCTAACACATCAATCCACCCAATCCTCCAGATTCTTCTCTTCAGCATCACCTAGCTCCACTTTTCTATTTTGACTGTCACCTTCCTAGTTTAGAATTTCCTCCTCTCTGGCTGGACTATCACTAGATATTCTCCTGCCTCTTGTGTTTCTCTTTTCCACTTCCTTCATTCTCACCACTATAAGATTTCTCTTCCAAAAGTCCTGATCTAATCACAAAAATCCTGTTGATTCTTCACTAAGAAAAATAATCCAAAAGACAATGTTCAAAGTCCATCATGATTCAGCCTTGACTTGGCTATCCAGACCTTTCTCCTACTTCTCCTAGTGTTTGGAGAAACTGTACTATTTCCCCACATTTATGATTTTGCTCACTTTTTCCTTCTAGTTAACCTCCTAACTCTTCTCTGTCCTACAGTCATTGTCTTTCTAAAATCCTATCCCTCCTTCAGATATAGCTCAAATTCTATCCCTATTTAAAATCTTCCACAGTGTTCCTAAGGTAGAAGAGTATCTCTCCCTCCTTTAAGCCCACAGGTTTTCTCTTGTATATTTTTCAAACCCTAGCTTGTGCTGTACTTATTTGCATATGTCTTCTCTTTCTTCCCTTAAACTTGAGGGTGGAGACTGTATCTTTATATCCCTCAAGGCCTAACATAGTGATCCTATTGTTTGTCTAAATGAATAATAAAAGCATATTATCCCAAGTGAGAGAAATTTGGAAGTTAGACATAGCATGGAAACCTGACACAATACTTCATAATGGATTTTTAAATACGAATAATACCTGGAGTATCCATTTGTAGCAAATATTTTAAAAATACTATCTTGAAAGCTGTCTGTATGTGTAAGATATTGTAGGCAAGTGTTTCTTAGCACTGCATGTTCATAAGAATCACCTGGAGAATTTTTAAATAATACCCATGCCTAGTCCCACTCCAGACCAATTACAGCAAACACTGTAATTTTTTGGAGGGTGGGTTCTGGGTACTGATTTTTTTAAACCTTCCCAAATAATTCAAATGTGCAATCAGAATTGAAAACTATGACTCTAGAGAATGGCAGCTGAATTGAGCTCTGTGTGTAGAGATGGGCAAGAGGAATGAATTCCTGATGATAAAGATATTTTTATTGATCTTTGGTTGTATAAAGGCAAGGAAAAGCTTAAGCAATTGTCAAATAACATCAATTAACTAACATTCATTGAACACTTACTCATTAATCCTTATGACATCCTATGAAGTAAGCATTGTTATTGGCTGCATTTTATTTATTTATTTTATTTATTTTTTATTTTTGAGTTGGAGTCTCACTCTGTCGCCCAGACTGGAGTGCAGTGGCCGCTCCCGGCCACTGCAGCCTCGACCTGCTGGGCTCAGGCAATCCTTCTGCCTCAGTCTTCCGTGTAGCTGGAACTACAGGCGTGCGCTACCACACCCAGCTAGTTTTTGATTTATTGTAGAGATGAGGTCTTGCCAAGTTGCCCAGGTGGGTCTGGAACTCGCGGGCTCAGGCAATCCACTCACCTCAGCCTCCCAAAGGCGCGGGATTACAGGCTGAGCCACCGAGCCCGGCTGGCTGCATTTTATAAATGAAGAATCTGAGGCTCAGAGTAGTACTGTAATTTACCCAGGTAAGCAAGTAGAGCAGTTGAGATGTGAAGACATGAATTCAGACACTCGGGCTTCAGAGCAAGGTAGAAGAGACCTGAAAGTCCAGTGACCTGGGAATGTGTGTGGGTGTGTGTGGGATGCATGTATGCCTGCATGTACGTGGGGCTTTTTCTATGGAGACCAAGCACAAGGATTGGAGAGTCATGGGACTGGGGATTGCAGAAGAAAAGAAAACAAAAGACAACTCTGACATAAGAAAAGAGAGGCCTTGGAGACCTGGTGGTAGGCTGGGTCCAAGGAGAGAGAATGTCAGTAAGGGACTCTTGGGAGGGGATAGAACCCAGGGGATTTAGGAACTTGGTAAATTACGCCAAGTTGCAAGTGTTTTTTTTCCATCTTGTAACTCCCTTGTGGTAACCTCCAGGCTTCAGCTAAGTTAGAGGTACCTTGGGGGGGGGTGCCCACTATGAGGCTGAAGCAGCAGAGGAGTGTTGGGTTCTCCATACAGTTTCTCCCTGAGGGAATGTGAATGCCACCACTCCCAGAATGGTAGGCACTGCTAATCCAAAATCAGAGTGACCAGTACGCAAGCAAGTGTGGAGTGAGGAACCAAACACCAAAGAGAGTAGGGACAGGGTATACTGAATGCCTTTCCCCCAAATATTACCAAAGTAGCAGCCTCTGCTTAGGAGGGGAAACTGGACCTTGTTATCCAGAGACAGTAGCCATTGGGAGGTTTCCTGTGCCACTCTGTGCCATTGCTACTGACAAACATAAATAGAAGCTATAAGGATGGGCTTGTGATATGAGTTGCCTTGGAACCAAGCCACACTCCACTTTCCCTCTTGAAGGTCTCATTGGAGAGGGCAGATTCCCCTGTTTGAGTGACCTTCTCTGTATGGTGCAGCAGGAAGGTTTTAGGGGTTGAAATCATCTAAGATTGAACTGCTGAAGCCACATTTAATTTCTTTGGATCTCAGTTTCCCTATCTGCGAAGTGAAGATCAAAATACTGATCTCACAGGGTTACCGTGAAAGTTAACTGTGAGAATCACGGAAGGCAGCTGTCAAAGGGCTTGGGTCTGACAGGGGCTCTCTGAAGTCATTTTCCTGGCCTCCCTGGTCCTGGCCGTCTAACGCCACCCGCATACTAGATCCCAACCCCAAGCGGTCTGCTCCTTGGGAAGTCAGATCCTACCTTTGGTTAGGCAGTGAATCCCGAGCTTGACTTGGGAAAAGTTTCCGCTTCCGATTTCCCCTCGAATTCGGTAGAAGCCTATCCGTTTCCCCAAGGTGATCTCCCTCACCACCTTCTCATCTTGGGACAGGTCCTGTGTCAGCTTCTCGAAGGGTGTCAGCTGGTGGAGCTGTTCCTCCTCACCCTCCTTGCTGCACTCTGCCTGACAGCCACTTTCTACGCTGTCGCGCCGATCCCACCGGGCAGAGTGGGGGTTCACCAGGCCGCTTCCATTCGCGTACACTGCAGTCATCGTCCACCGCAGGCTCACGTCTCCATCTCCGCGAAGAGCCACCGATCGAGGGCGGGTTGCAGAGGGGCGGGAGCGTCCCAGAGGGTGGGGGATGCGAGCTGAGGACCGCCAGCGCCCAGGGTTCGCGAGAGGTGTCCTAAAAACTGGACAGAAACTCCTCGCAGTCTCCTTGTGAGTCCAGGGAGAGGAAGGCAGCCAACGCGGGGCCTAATCTGTCCGGCCCGGCCCAGCCCAAAGCCACTCGCCTCACTTCCCACCTTCCCTCACATCGAACGTGCAGTTGCTAGCTATAGGAGTGGGCACATGTCCAGTTACCATAGCAACCTCCCGGATGGGACGCCAGGAACTTTCTGGCCAGAGCGGGGGATCTGATGCTCTGTGGTAGGTGGCTGTACCTCAGGACAAAGGCTTTCGTTTATTTCCCTAGATGGTTAGGGAACCTTGCGCTTTGGTTTGTAAAAGCCGCTGGAAGGCCCCCCAAGACCCTGCTGCCAGTGCTTATCTCTGACCTTCATTTTGGGCTTCTCTTGCCTCCAGCCGCAGCGCCCTGGAGACCTAATGATCTGGACCCCAGGAAAGAAGAAACTTTCAAATCAGCCTTCTGGTCACACGGGCAGTCAGAGCAGGATTAAATCCCTGCAATATCACTTTAGCCGGCCTTTATTTAGATGAGCCTTCCTCTAAGCCACGAGCTGTCTTGAAAATTTGGCGGGTGCTGGTTCTTCCTAAGAAGAGAGTAAGAAAATTGTTAGCTCATGCTAATGTACTGTGGAGAATTTATAATGACTGTGAAGCTGCTTTGTAAGCATTGATCTAAAAGAACTCCACAGATTTATGAGTCATATCAGTAGTAGGAGCTTGATTACAAATGATTTAGGAAGAAAAAAATATATATATGCATACACCCCTCAATCTACATTTTAGAAAAGCTCTTATAGTCTGCACATATTTCTCACAAAATCATTTTTCTTTTTCTCGAAGTCTGGGAAAATACGTATATTCCTTTGGGTTGCTTTAAAGAGAGATTTTTAAAATAATAGGATGGTGTTGATAATAAGACTCCAACTCAAAAAAAAAAAAAAAAAAGACTCTCGATGACTATTAGTTTTCAAAGTTTCTCATATTTATTCAAATAATATTGTATCTTCTTTACTTTGTTATGATCTTGTACAACTTTTCCTGTAATAATTGCTTCCACTCTTTTGTCATTCTGTGACAAAGGCTAATTTTTCCTTTTATATTTATTATTTGAATTTTTCTGATCAGATGTCAGCTTCTAGGCTCAGCATCTCATTTTGAAGATGTAGAAATGAATGGTTTATGGCATTGCCAGTCATAAGTGGTACTGCCCAGCTACAATGTCTACCAGGCTTTTTTTTCCCCCTGCACTCATCAGTAGGAAATAAACTCTTCCTCAACTGAATTCACACAGCACTTTGTGCATTTTCCAAAATGTCTCATCTCCATGAAGGTGAGAACTGGGTTGAGTTTATTTGTATGTTCTTTTCCTCCTCTCTCCCTCAACATGCATTGTGATGCCCTAATATAGAAAATGTTCACAAAATAAATGTGTATTGAGGCCTGATATGGTGGCTCTCATCTATCATCCTAGCACTTTGGGAGGCCAAGGTAAGATAATTATTTGAGACCGGGCTTGGTGGCTCAGCCTTGTAATCCCGTGCTTTGGGAGGCTGAGGTGAGTGAATTGCCTGAGCCCGTGGGTTCGAGACCCACCTGGGCAACTTGGCGAAACCTTATCTCTACAATAAATGAAAAATTAGCTGGGTGTGGTAGCGCATGCCTGTAGTTCCAGCTACTTGGAAGGCGGAGGCGGAAGGATCGCCGGAGTCCAGCAGGTTGAGGCTGCAGTGGCGGGGAGCGGCCACTGCACTCCAGTCTGGGCGACAGAGTGAGACTCCAACTCAAAAAAAAAAAAAAAAAAAAGATAATTATTTGAGCCCAGGAGTTCGAGACCAGCTGGGGCAACATAGTGAGACCTCATCTCTACAAAAAACATCAAAAAATTAGCAGGGTATGGTGGCATGTGCTTGGAGTCCCAGCTACGCAGGAGGCTGAGGTGAAAAGATCATCTGAGCCCAGAAAGGATGAGGTTATGGTGAGTTGAGTTAGTGCTACTGCACTCCAGCCTGGAGCAAGACCCTGTCTCAAAAAAAAAAAAAAGTTTGTTGAACTTGATTTTTGGACTTGGACTTTCTGAACTAAAAACTTGACTGAAAACCTAAGAGACTGTCTTGGAAATGTGGATTTCCACCTCTGCTTGATGTTATTACATTATTACAACTTTGTGCAGGGTTGCCTATGCTGTAGTTAAGTATGAGGTTGCCAAATAAACATAAGTATGAGCTGAATAGAGGAGGCTGTTCTTATTTCTGCATAGAGGAAGCTGGAAGAATGATGAAGAACAGAGGCTTAAAATGGGTGGGGTGGTAGTAACTAAAAACAACTCTAGGTTATAAACTAATTAGGATGTTTCAAAAACATTTTTAAGATAAAAGATTCTTAATTAGGGTGAGGAAAATCTAAGTAACTGATTCTTAATTGTCCTGAGGTTACAGACTCCTTTGAATGTTAAAAAAACCTATGACACCATTTCCAGAGGGGGGAAAAGAAACGTACCCACACAATTTGCGTCCAATATTAAGAGTCTCACAGACATTCTGAAACCTATCTTTGTACCTCAGGTTAAGAATCTCTGTAAAGGTCAAGTGACAGTAGACCCTAGATTCCTGGCAGAAAGATACCATGCAGTTTTTATGAGAGATTAGAAGTGAAGTAACATTGATCATAATGCTGAAAGAAACTTTAGTTTGACCCAAGGAAAAGAGGAATAAAGGTTTTTGAAAGGGCCAGGGGCAGTGGCTTATACCTGTAATCCAAGCACTTTGGGAGGCAAAGGAGGGAGGAGCGCTTGAGCCCAGGAGCTCAAAACCAGCCTAAGCAATACAGTGAGTCCTCATCTTTACAAAAAGTTAAAAAAAAAAAAAAATTAGCTGGATGTAGAGGCACATGCTTGTAGTCCCAGTCACTCAGGAAACTGAGGTGGAAGGATTGCCTGAGTTCAGGAGATTGAGGCTGTGGCAAGCGGTGATCACACCATGGCACTCCAGCCTCAGCGACAGAGTGAGCCTTCAAATCAAAAAGAAAAAAAAATTTTTTTGACAAGATGCAGTACTTCATCAACTCATGTTCTAGCAGACTCTACGAAGACCTTTTTGGCTCCGTGTGTTCTCCAGTGCCTCATCGTTGTGCTGTCCTCATCACTGAGCGAATTGTACTCCAACTAGACATGCACCTGGAATCTGCATTTTATTTTTCTCTCATCTCCTGGAGTTCTGCACAGAGCCTGGTATCTACTTGATAAAAACATGTTGAAAAGGAATGGACTAACCTACCAATTTATCCAGAAATGGATATTTTTATTTTTAAAGTAAAAATGCTATTCCAGCATTTACTTGAATTATATCAGAAAGCTTACTTCAGTCCACATTTCTAAGGCCTGGGCTACTCTTTATTAGCTGTTAGGGTCCCTAGCTTGACCTTTTGTGGAGGTGAAAGTTTAGTCCAAAGTTCCACTGAAAATTTCAACAGGACTCCTTAGAAATGCACATTTCCCCCAACCCTGCCCCTTTCAAAGGATCAGCTCTTCCCAAGCACTCAGGACTCAGGTTTTCTTCTGCACCTGCTGCCTATCACCTCCTGCCCAAGTGATGGTCCAGGATTTATTTTACACTTGCTGGTTCCCCACCTCACCTGATTTGGGCTCTATACTTTGAACTCCATTCAGACCCTGGGATTTGAGGCTACAGGTATCTCCCAGGATTCCTCTTCCTCCCCTCCCAATTTGACCTAGAGGGAGGGATCAGACACAATTGTCAAGTGTGGACAGGTTCTGTCTTGAATTACATACTCTACACCCACAAATTAAATTGCTTGCAAAATGGTCTTGAACCAATGGTCTTGCCTTTAATGGCCAGCAAGACAGTTAATCTTCCACTTAGATCAGATAAAGAGATTTTTACACTTTTGCAAATGTTTCTGTTGTTTGTACTGAGGATGAATTGCAATTTGAAACAGTTAACAAACCCACTTGTGGGGGAGGGAGGAAATTGAACTTTACTACTACTCTGAAATAAATTCTAAATAAATCACCTAAGTAAATATAAAATAAATAAAATCATAAAATACTAGAAAGAACCCAGACTTTTATTTTATAATCTCAGAAAAGTTCATAAAAGAAAACATTAAATTTTGACTACATAAAACTGTAACTTTCTGTTTGCCAAAAGTATCATTAATAGATAGACAAAAATCAAATGATAAAGTGGTAGGGAAGATTTTCCAACATATATAATAGACAGAGGGCTAATTTGCTACAGAAAGAAAGAATTTTACAAATTGATAAGGAAAAATACCAATATATCCAAAGAAAGAAAACTGATAAAGAACATGAATAGACATTTCACAGAAAATATAAATGGTTCTATACTATGTAAAAAGATGCTCAACTTCACTTAAAACCAAAGGAACATCCACAAAAACTACAGTAAAATTAGATTTTTTTGGATATTAAAAAAATTTTCGGAGCAGTGTGAAGAAGAGGCAAGAACGACCCCCCTTACCGACCAAAGCCCACGCGCCGCTCCATCCCCACGTCCAACGCCTTAGTTCCGCTGCCATCACCACTGTGCCCAAGAGAAGGGCTGAAGGGGATGCTAAAGGAGATAAAGCCAGAGTGAAGGACGAACCCCAGAGAAGATCTGCAAGGTTGTCTGCTAAACCTGCTCCTCCAAAGCCAGAGCCCAAGCCTAAGAAGGCCCCAGCTAAGAAGGGAGAGACGGTACCCAGAGGGAAAAAGGGAAAAGCCAGTGCTGGCAAGGAGGGGAATAACCCTGCAGAAAATGGAGATGCCAAAACAGACCAGACGCAGAAAGCTGAAAGTGCTGGAGATGCCAAGTGAAGTGTGTGCATTTTTGATAACTGTGTATTTCTGGTGACTGTACGGTTTGAAATACTATTTTTTATCAAGTTTTATAAAAATGCAGAATTTTTTTTTTTTTTAAGCTATGTTGTTAGCACACAGAGAATTTCATTGTTGTTTTTGGGGAAAAGGGCATATGTCACTAATAGAATGTCTCCAAAGTTAAATTGATGTGGGGAAAACACCTTTCGCTTCTAGTTTTAAGAGACTTCCTCTTGGCTTCCAGGAGGAGGGATTCCCCGACGTTGACACACATAGCCACCTTGGTACAAACACCTTGTGGTGTGGAAAAACATTCATTTTTAATTTTTTTTTTTTGAGTTGGAGTCTCACTCTGTCGCCCAGACTGGAGTGCAGTGGCTGCTCCTGGGCACCCCAGCCTCGACCTGCTGGGCTCCGGCGATCCTTCTGCCTCAGCCTTCCAAGCAGCTGGAACTACAGGCACGCGCTACCATGCCCAGCTAATTTTTGATTTATTGTAGAGATGAGGTCTCGCCAAGTTGCCCAGGCGGGTCTCGAACCCGCGGGCTCAGGCAATCCACTCGCCTCGGCCTCCTAAAGTGCTGGGATTACAGGCTGAGCCACCGAGCCTGGCCAAAACATTCATTTTTTATGCCCTCTTCTCCCTTTCTGCCTTCAGCATAGACTTACCTCCCTTAAACCCAGACATCTGTTGGGACCTGATTCCCAATAATTGGCTACCAGTATGTCAGTGATGCCACTGAGATGGCACTCCTCATAAAAGCAGTAGTTTTTGTTTATAGATTGTGGATCTTCAGACAAATTCTGCCATTTTCATTTCATTTCTTGAAAGTCAGGGTCGGCTTGTGAAAAGTCGTCAAACAACATGCTAAATGTGAAATGTCAACCCTCACTCTAAACTTCTTCCCTGTTCAGAGCATCAAATGAAGACTTCATTGGATTTTTCTAGTAGCTTTCTGATTTTGGTAGTCCATTAAAGAAGGAAGTTTGAAAGTTGTTGTATACTGTTAAAGATTGTCTGCCCATGTCCTGCCTGAAATACCATGACTGTTTATGAAAAGTATCTTTAATAAAGCTGGATACAGTTTGAAAAAAATTTTTTTCACATTATCAAAAAATTTTTGATAATGCATTGGTGAGAGATGGTGTGGGAAAGCAGACACTCTCATTGATTATTACTGAAAGTGTGAATTGGCACAATGGTTTGAAGGGCAATTTGGCTATAGTTATTAAACTACAAGTTTGTGTCCCTTGCCTCAACAATCCCACTTCTACAATTTATCTTTCATACATATGCACAAAGACATATGTGCTTCTGACATAAAGATGGATAGATACTCAAAATTGCATTGTTTTGCTAATAACAAGAAATTGTTTAAATGCCCATGAGTAGGGAAATGACTAAATAAATTACCACACACACATATGTACATAAAATGGACTACTAGGCATCTGTAAAAAAGAATGAGTTGCAAGATATACTGTAAAGAAGTAGGAAGAGTTTGTATAACGAGATATTAGAAGTGTAAAAAAGCTGTACCTAAGAAGGAGGTATCATTATTACATCTAGGGAGGGGAATTGTTGGACTGAAAATTGGAGTGAGAAAAAAGTATACTTTTTACTACTTCTTTTTGAAGATAATGTATATTTTTCCATGTGCATGCATTTATCTTTAAAGAAAACAATTATATGTAAAAAAAAAGAAAAGATGTAATGTGTTACTACCTTATGTAGTTAGTGTATAGTAAGTTTGCTTTACTTTTGAATATACAGGGAAATTACCATACCTAACTCTGATATCTAAGAGGTTGCTTTTAAAATCAAAAGGTAATTAGGGATTTCTGGCTAAAAATAGGAATGCAATGCTTTCATTTATTTCAACTTACTTCTAAAAATTCTCAAAGTGACGAAAGAAGAGGAAGAAAGATATATGAGCGGGGAACCAAAAACCCTTAGAATTTATTCATAAAAAGAAGTGTATTTATTCTTACATATTTAAACTGCAGACTTTTAAAGTACTCTCCATTTGATGCAATACATCTATAGAGACTTGTTAAACTGTTCAAAACAGCTTTTAAACACACCAATTTTGATGCCTGTAGTGCTTCTGCCGTTTTTTGTTTCACTTCTTCCACATCAGCAAAACATTTCCCTTTGAGGACTTTTTTTTTCATGGGAAACAAAAAGAGTCAGGGCAAGATTTGGTGAATAGGGCTGGTGGAGCACTGGGGTCAAGCTGTTTTTGGTTAAAACTGCTGAACACTCAGTGCAGTGTGGGCAGGTGCGCTCATAAATCACCCTTCATAAAATGGGTGAATGTGCTGAAAGAATCTCAAACAAAAAGTCACCGAAGCCAAACGCAGCCTCTCATAACAATGCTAGCTGGTATGCCGATGCTGATGGATTCCTAGAACACTTACCTAGAATGGGAACCCTGTACTATAAGGGGCTCACTTTCCCAAAACGAATTGGTTTTTTTGGAGGGGGGGGTCCCTTCTCTTAAGTTCACGAGGATAAAGAGAATTAGAGAGGAGATAGCAGCAGATATAAAATGCCAACACATTTTTGGGGAGATGGAAAGAAAATTGAGGCATGGTAAGCCACTTGGCAAAGACACAGCAGAAAACTGCAACCTAAATTCTGGCACAAGGGTATGCCAATGAGACTCACCTTTCCAAGCATTCAAAATATTTTACACTATAAGAGACCAAGCCTCTCAAAGGTTGGAGGAATAAAGCAGGACCCAAAACATGAGGATTGTTTGACTGTAAAACTGTGAGAGCCTTATCCTTACCCTCTTCAAAACCAGGTTGTTATTTTCTCTACCCCATCCCCATCTCAGGAACACAAGGCACAGGAGAGAAGATCAGGTGAAACTGAGTTATGGACCCCCTTCCCCATTCCCTTTCTCCCTGTACTCTGAGTTTCCAGAATGGAGGGAGACACGCATATAAATCTCCAGTGGGTTCCTCTTTTGGATAAGACTAACTATCTCAAGAGAAAAGGCCTGAAACCTCCAACAAAAAAGTCCCTTGGCCATGTATCACACAATCCTCCAGGTGGCAGTTTCATGCATACTCAAGGAGATTCCAGTCAGATTTTAGTGTCGTCTTCTTAGTAGGAGTGTACAGTAGAGGCATCAGACACATGAGAAAAGGTTCCAAAATGAAAAAAGAAACCATACTTGGTTGGGTGCGGTGGTTCAGCCTGTAATCTCAGCACTTTGGGAGGCCAAGGTGAGGACTGCCTGAGCCTGGGGTTTTGAGACCAGCCTGGGCAACTTCGTGAGATCTCGCCTCTACAGTAAATCACAAAAACTAGCCAGGCATGGTGGCGTGCATCTATAGTTCCAGCTACTTGGAAAGCCGAGGTGGAAAGATTGCCTGATCCCAGCAGGTCAAGACTGTGGTGGCCGTGAGCATGTCACTGCACTCCAGCCTGGGTGACAAGAGTGAGACTCCAATTCAAAAAAAAAAGAAGAGAGAGAGAAAAGAAACCATACTTAACCAAAACAGCAACCACCACAACCAAAATAAGTTTGAAGAAAACAGAAAGCCACAATGACACAGAAGACAAAAAGATAAGGCATTGCAGTCATAAAACCGGAACAACATGCTAAAAAAAAAACCTACATAAATAGACAACTCAGATATCAAGAAAGAGTTCTCTAGAAAAATTAGAGAATTCAACTGAAAAAACTGTGAAAGAAATGTTAGGTAACACTCCCAGAGGGGGCCTCCGGAATGTTAGGTCAGGCCCACTGGGGGTATGGGTGTCTGGTGTGTGATCCGGTACTGTGTGAAAGACGCAAAAAATTGCACAGAAGCTAGATTAGGAAATACAGTTTATTTAGAAAGTCAATTAGAGAGAGAGAAGAAAAAGAGGAGATTCATTTGCACAAAGTAGGGGAGGGGGCCAAAGCCGGGAAACATGGCCTGGTCATAGCTCGAAGAGCACATGGCCACACCATAGCTTAGCAAGGCAGTGGCTGCTGGTTGCTCATGGTTGAGTCCTTTTAATTCTTCCCTTTGATGGGGGAAGGTCGTTAAGGTGACTGAAGGGTGGTCTGCTCCATGTCAGCATGAAGGGGCTGGTAAGCGCAGTTACTGACATCAGGTGATAGACAGGTGGGTGGGTTAGTGATATGATTGCTGCTGTGGTGGTGGGCTAGATGGGAGGAGACAAGGGGAGGGGTTTTTCCTGCAAGAGACCTGTCAGTGTTTCCAATCCACAAGCTCCTTAGCAAAAAGTTTGTCTTATGATCATTTCTATGACTTTGGCCAGCTAAGGGGTGATTTTTTACCTTAGTAATGCAAAGCTGTGAATTGAAAGGTTAGGCTGTCCTTGTCTTGCATCTGATGGAGATTTGCTGAGGGGATGGGGTAGGCTACCAGCTTGGGCTGCAGTAAAATATCTGAATGCTTCCTAAAACCTACCTATTGGAAATTTATCTATCTACGTCTAGCCTGTGCTAGACTCAAAGTGTGTCAGTCTAAGCAAAAATGGCTTTGCTGAGGCAATATGTGGACTAAGTTTATTCTAAAATTCTCGGGGTCCCTCCTTTCCAAAAATATACAGAAGAGGTGAACAATATAGAAGACAAAAAAACTAGGCACTTAATTCAGAAAGCCCAACATCTAATTATTAGAATTTCCAGTCATATTATTGTACTCCCAATAAGTAAAACATATAGTTTCTATTGTACCTGAATCACCAACAAATCTTAGAAATTTCAAAAATAGTAATGAGTGAGGGAAAACTATTCCAATAGAATAAAAAGTAGAAGCAAACCTTAACAAAAAGGAAATTGTGTGTGTGTGTGTGTGTGTGTGTGTGTGTGTGTGTGTGTGTGTGTCTAAGGGTGTGTGAACTCTTTTATTTTGCAGATTTTTTAAGATACTTTTCTTAGAAGAATATACATTTTGACTACTTTCTAGTAGTGTCCCAAAACTTCAAGGTACATCGTGTTGAAAATAAGGAAATTATGGCATACTTAATTGCAGATGAAATTCCCCATTTTCTCAGGGGCAAATGGGGTTTTTGTTGTTTTGCCTTTTGTGCTTTTGATTGTGACCAATTTTTATGGATATTAATGAGAGCTTAGAAACCCAACCATAAAAAAGCATGGAGTCACAACAATGTAGATCAAAGCTTCTGGAGGAGGCAGATTGGTTCTTAATTATTAGCTTACTGTTGCTGCATAACAATGCATTAAATAAGATTAAAGAAAACAAGGCCTACTTGGCAATTTATTTTCTTGACTTGCATTCCACTGTGAAAATAATATCATTGGAAACCATCTTGTCTTTGTTCTCTTTGTCAGAGTTTAA